AAACTTAGATTTTGCTAGTCCTCGAGCAAAACAAAGGAAAAATACCATTTAGAAAACAGGAAATAAGCTGCTAGCCTTCCAAACAATATCCTCAAAGAATCACCAACGTATATGGTTCCAAAGAAACACAAAAATCACAATCTAAGTTCCATACATGATTCACGAGAAAGCAAAGCTAACAATGACACCGTTAAGTGTAGTATGTGAATGCCAAATCAGAACAACACCTAAAACTCAAATAAGTACATGCGCACACACACTTAGAGCAAAATCAAAAATTCCAAACCCCATAAGCTCATTATCCAATCTGCTCTCCACATAATACCATGCAACACCAAGGATCAAAAGGGCTTTACAAGGGTAGTAATGAGGTTTAGGATAGTGGTTGAATGAAAGAGGGGATATGGATATATAACAACATCTTTGAGCACAACTAAAGCATAAGTAAGAGCATGAGAGATTACTGATCTTTTTTAACAAGCAAGGAACACATACATGAGCATATTTTCAACAGAATTTCAGCACCTTCATATCCGTTTATTTGACCTAATTTTGTGGCTCTTTACCCTAGATCACCATGATCTTCTCTTTTATAACACCTTAAGGCCGTGACTACATTGGTCACACTTCATTACCTCTTTTGATTAGTTACCAATACCCCCAAACTTATTTCTTTTCAACACTTGGGTTATGGCACTAATGATTCACTTTTGCTCCAAAAACCTTGCATTCTTTATAACTCTCTTTTGAAGATAGCTTTAATTGCTCATAGAATAAGTAAGAATAAGAAAACAGAGGTTCATTATGGTAGGAATGGTTTACATAAAGAAAGGCTTAACGTAGGCTCAAATCGGTTGACTAGGGATGAATACATGTAGAGGGATGGTTAGAAAAGCTCAAACGGTTCAAATATGGCATAAATCACTTCCTAAGCATTGTATGGCAATAAAATGTCCCAAGAGATATTCAAATAAGTTCTAGAGTACAAAACCAAGATCATGAGATAAATAGAATTGCATAACGTCTCCAATTAGCAAGAAATTGGACTAACTTGGCAAAGTGCTCAATAAGTGCAAGGATGGCATGCAAGACAGAGTTAACTCAGAACCACACAAAGTCCTTAAACAATGACTATCAATTTCTGAGAAACCATATTAGTATTAGATCCAAACTCTTGCGTTTTTGGCCATTAGACACACTCAAAATTTTAAAATTTGACAATTTGAAACAACATAACTAAATCATTCCCCCCAAACTTAAATGAAACATTGTCCTCAATGTTTAGAGTGTAAGAAAAAGCAGTGCCTCATAAATGAAAGGAAAGAAGATAAGGGAAAGACATAACCAAAGGTTAGAGTTCAAAAAAACTCCCCTTTGAAGCGATTAGGACGCAAGCAGGTTTCCTTGCATGTTCTATCTTCTCCTCGTCACCTTGGGTTGCCTCCCAAGAAGCGCTCAGTTTTATATCTTCAGCCGGACGTCCAAACTCTAGTGAGCATCAAGAGAGTGGTGGAGGCTCCTTGAGTGCTTGAGACTCAATATTGGCATCAAAGTAAGGTTTCAACCGATGTCCATTCACCTTGAAGGTGCTGTCATCCTTAATATTTTGAATCTCCACTGCGCCATGATCAAACAAATTAGTAATAACAAAAGGGCCAATCCACTGAGAACGAAGCTTACCTGGGAAGAGCTTAAGGCATGAATTGAATAGGAGAACCTTCTGCCCTTTCTTAAATGCCTTCATAAGAATTTTCTGGTCATGATATTGCTTTGTTTTCTCCTTGTAAAGCTTAGCATTCTCATATGTTTCATGTCGCAACTCCTCCAACTTATTGAGTTGAAGCCTCATCTTCTCACCAGCAGCTTTCATATCAAAATTAAAGGCCTTGATTACCTAATATGCCCTATGCTCAAGCTCCACTAGTAAGTGACAAGGTTTACCGAAAACAAGCCTATACGGAGACATACCTATATGGGTCTTATAAGCAGTCTTATAAGCCCATAGTACACCTTGTGGTGTTCACTGTCTTTTCAAGTATGTGCTTAATCTCCCTATTATTTATCTCAACCTGCCCGCTAGTTTGAGGATGATAGGGTGTTGCCACCTTATGCGTGATTTCATATTTCTTCAAGAGTGCTGCAAAAGCTTGGTTAACAAAGTGGAAGCCACCATCACTAATAATTGCTCTAGGTGTGCCAAACCTTGTAAAAATATTTCCTTTGAGAAAACCAATCACAACCTTAGCATCATTAGTTCTAGTGGCAATGGCTTCCACCCATTTAGAAACATAATCAACAGCAACTAATATATATTCAAATCCATAAGAGGTAGGAAAAAGGCCCATGAAATCAATTCCCAAAACATCAAATATTTCAATGATTAGGATATTGGTTAGAGTCATTTGATTTCTAGCATGTAAATTACCCATCCTTTGGCATCTATCACATGAAGCGTAAAAAACATAAGCATCCTTAAAAAGGATAGGCCAAAAGAAACCTGATTGCAGCACTTTGCTGGCAGTCTTCTTTGCTCCAAAATGGCCTCCCCATGCATGAGAGTGACAAAACTCTATAATGCTCTTAAAATCACTTTCAGGCACACACCTTCGAATTACTTGGTCTGGGCAATGCTTGAATAGATATGGATCATCCCAAAAGTAGTATCTTGCTTGCTTCCTAAGCTTGTCACGTTGGAACGTAGATAACCCTGTAGGGAGTTCATTAGTGCACAAATAGTTAACAATATCAGCAAACCAAGGCAATGGATTGAGAGAATTCAAAGCATAAATGGAGAAGAGTTGCTCATCAGAGAAGCTTTCACACTCCTCTTCGTTAGATACATGTACCAATCTACTCAAGTGATCAGCCACGACATTCTCACTTCCTTTCTTATCTTTTATCTCCAAGTCAAACTCTTGCAACAAGAGAATCCATCTAATGAGTCGTGGCTTGGCATCCTTCTTGGCTAACAAGTATTTTAATGCTGCATGATCAGTGTAAACAATAACCTTGTTAGTAATCAAATATGATCTGAACTTCTCTAAAGCAAATATGACAGCTAATAACTCCTTCTCTGTGGTGGAATAGTTGAGTTGGGCATCGTTGAGGGTTCACCTAGCATAGTAGATGGCATGTGGCTTCTTATCAACTCGCTGTCCCAAAACAGCTCCAACGGCATAGTCAGAGGCGTCACACATCAATTCAAAAGGCAAGCTCCAATCTGGTGGTATAATGATTGGGGCAGTTGTGAGCATCTTCTTCAAAGCATTGAAAGCATTCTCACAGTTTTGATTAAAGACAAAATCCATGTCCTTGGCAAGGAGATTGCACAAAGGCCTCTCAGTCTTAGAAATTCCTTAATGAAACGCCTATAGAAACCTGCATGGCCAAGGAAAGAACGTACTTCTTTGACAAAAGTAGGTGAGGGCATGGAGGCAATCAAATCAATTTTAGCTTTATCTACCTCGATTCCTTTACTAGAGATGACATGACCAAGAACTATGCCTTGGTTAACCATAAAATGATATTTTTCCCAATTAAGCACAAGGTTAGTCTGTTCACATCTAGCCAACACCTTGGATAAGTTATGCAAGCATTGATCAAAAGAATCACTAAAGACAGAGAAGTCATCCATGAATACCTTAATGAACCTTTCTATCATGTCAGAGAAAATGCTCATCATGCACCTTTGAAAAGTGGCTGTGGCGTTACAGAGACCAAAAGGCATCCTCCTATAAGCGAAAGTGCCAAAGGGACATGTGAAGGTTGTCTTCTCTTGATCCTCTGAGGCTATGGCGATTTGGTTGTAGCTTGAATATCCATCAAGGAAGCAATATTGGCTATGGCCAGCCAATCTCTCAAGCATATGATCAATGAATGGAAGAGGGAAGTGATCCTTGCTTGTTGCTGTGTTGAGCTTTCTATAACCAATGCAAACTCTCCAGCTCGTGGTCACCCCTGTAGGTACAAGCTCGTTTGCTTCATTCTTCACCACTGTGATACCTGACTTTTTGGGAATAACTTGCACTGAGCTCACCCATTTATTGTCAGAAATAGGGTAAATAATACCAACATCTAAAAGCTTCATTACCTCATTCCTTACCACCTCCTTCATGTTTGGATTGAGACGTCTTTGGGCATCCCTCTTAGGCATTGGGTTGTCTTCCAATAATATCTTGTGCATGCATAGTGTTGGACTTATGCCTTTGATATCTGCAATGCTCCAACCGATTGCAGTTTTGTGCTCTTTTAGAACTCTCAAAAGCTACTTCTCATCATTTGGTTCGAGGTGTGAGGCAATGATAACATGTAGAGTCTCATTTTCACTTAAATAAGCATATTTAAGGTGTTTTGGCAATTCCTTTAATTCCAACTCTGGTGCTTGCACAATAGAAGGTAAAACTTTATTAGTAGGTGGGGGTAATGATTCAAATTGGTTTGCATACCTCTTTCTAACTTCTATGTAGCTATCCATGTTGCAAACAAGCTCAAGAAGTAAAGGAGAGATCACAGCCTCTAAGCTGTCCACTTATTCTTTCCTTATGCTTTGTGTGATGTATGCTTCAATAGGCTCCAAATAACTCATTGGCACTGCTTCTTTTACCATAGTGTCAATTGCATCAAGCTGGAAAACTTCATGCTCATCACTTGGAAACTTGGAGGCTTCAAACACTTTGAATGCTATTGTTTCATCAAACACGTTCATGGTCAATGTATCCTTCTTCACATCAATAATAGCACCGGCAGTTGCCATGAATGGCCGACCTAGAATGAGTGGTAACTGATTGTCATGAATTGGTGCTTCTTCCATTTCCAACACCAAGAAATCTGCTGGCAAAATTAGCTCTTCCACTTTCACCAAAACATCTTCTAGAATGCCCTTAGGGTACCTAATAGTTCTATCTGCCAATTGAATGCTCACAGATGTGGCTTGCAACTCACCAAGGTTAAGTTTCTCATAAACATGATATGACATAAGGCTTATAGAAGCACTAAGATCAAGCAAAGCTTTTTGAAACTTAAAATCACCAACTATGCAAGGTATAGAAAATGAACCTGGATCTTTTAGCTTTGGAGGTAGCTTTCTTTGTAACACTGCACTTACCTCTTCATTCAATGCAACTTGTTCATGCTCTTTGAATCTCCTCTTGTTAATGCATAGATCCTTCAAAAATTTTGCATACTTTGGAATTTGAGCAATGTGATGTTGATTTGCACCTTCTTGAATGTTTCCATTATCTCATCAAAGCCTTGATCTTTCTTTGACTTTGATAACCTGCTAGGAAATGGTGCAATATGCCTAAAACAATTGGTTGAAATTGGAACTTGATTAGCATTAGATGATAGCTTAGGGCCTGTGCTCTTTCCAGAAGGATTGATGGATTGTTTGTTGGAAGCTGTGGGCTACCCATGTGGTGGCTGAATGATGTCCACGTTTTCTCCATCTTCTTGCTTTTCATGGGCATCTCTAACCTTATTATCAACTTGCTTACCACTTCTCAAGATGTGTACTGCTTTAGCATGCTCTTGATGCCTTGGATTCACAAGTTTCGGATGCCCAATTACTCATGGAGGATGCAATCTGCCCAACTTGCACTTCTAGTTTGTTCACTGCATTTTGAAGATTCTGATTGGTTTGCATTTGTTGCCCCATGAACTTCTTAAACATGTCTTGCAATTCTCCCATTTGATCACCCCTTTGCTCTTGCACTTGTTGGGGAACTTGCTGGAATTGCCTTTGTTATATTTGAAATCCTGGGGGAGGTCCTTGAGATTATTGCACATTTGGATTGTTGCTCCACTTGAAATTAGGATGATTTCTCCACTTCGGATTGTACGTGTTTGAGTAAGGATCATTATTATGATTCCTTGCTTGAAGGGCATTTGCTTGTTCTAGCATGTGCTCTGCAAAAGATTGATCTTAAGCTTCCACTTTGTTTCCTAGAGGGCCAGTCACTGCTTGTTGGAGCAAAGAACACATAACATCAAGTTTTGCAGCAATCTCATTATTAGTACTTACCTCAGAGACCACAACTTTCATAGGAGCTCCTATTCCTTTATTGTGGCTCCATTGTTGAGAGTTAGCACTCAAGGATTCAAAGAGAGTAAAAGCCTCATATGCTGTTTTGTTCATCAGTCCTTCTCCACTTGTTGCATCTACCATCATCCTTTCGGAATCAAGCAAACCTTCATAGAAAGATTGCATTTGCATCCAACTCTCTATGTTATGGTGTGGGTAAGAACTTATTATCTCCTTGTACCTCTCCCAACATTCATGAAAAGCTTCTCCTTCCTTTTGTGTGAAACCAAAGATTTCCTTTCTAATCTTGTTAGTCTTTTGAGCCGGAAAGAATTTCTGCAAAAACTTATTAGAAAGCTCTTCCCAAGTATGAATTGAAGCATTAGGCAAAGAGTATAACCAAGACGTAGCCTTATCTTTTAAACTGAATGAGAATAACCTCATCTTAATTTGCTCATCATCAAGGCATTAAATTTTGATCGTAGCACATATTTCAAAGAATTGCTTAATATGCATGTAAGGATCCTTAGTGGTATTTCCATAATAAGTTGGAAGAAGATGAATCATACAACTTTTAAGCTCAAACCTGTCAACTATGAGTTAAGGATAGACGATGCACGAAGGTTGATCGGTGACTTTGGGAATGGAAAACTCACACAGGGGTTTTCGAGGTTGAACAACAAGCGCACCACCTCCTTCAACATTATTGTTGTTGTTCGGAATCTCTGCCATCTTGCTTAAACCTTCATATTCGTAGCTTTTAGATTTAGTGCTTGAAGAACTATAATTCCTCCTCAAACTAGCATGTACAGCAACGGTGGTGGAAGTGGCTCAGGTGAACTATGTTCCTGATCAGATTTGGACATGAACACACCAAGGAACTCAATTCAATGCTTTCAATGGAGATAACAACTAAATACAAAAACTGAATACTAAAAGAAAAACCAACGAAAAGAAACAAATGAAACAAACAAAAATAAAACAATCAAAGTAATCTAACTATAGCACCATCGTTACCGGTTGCCCGGCAACGGCGCTAAAAACTTGTTGGCTCAATTCCTAACAACTAAAATAAGTTATTAAAAATAGCAACTTTAATTCTCGCAAGTGCACAAACCGTTTATAGTATAGCTTATGTAAATACGAGGTCGATCCCACGGAGAATGGTAACTTGGTTCCAAGTTAAATTACTTAGAATGTTAGAAAAACATAGAACAAAGAAATTGACTAATTAGCCAAAGGCAAGGTCGAATTCAACAATGCCTCTTGCTAATTACTCAAGGTCTA